AAATAGCTATTAATTAGCTATTAATTAGCTAAAATAAGTTTTTTACAAGAAAGTTAACATGTATTATATTTATATAACAAACATATTTGTTAAAAATATAAGTTTCTGTAAAGTTATCTTTTAAAAGAATCGACACACAAAACAGTTTATAAAATTACCGCAACAATTAATAATAATGACCTCAAAGACCATCCTGATATTAATAATCCAAATCTAACCGTTATTAAAAATAGTTTTGTTGATGAAGAAGAAGTGAAAAAATTGATTTCTTCACATGATATTATTATCTTTGCAGCAGGAACAAAACTATCAAATGCTTTTTTCCCTAATAAAGTATATTCAAGACCGGCGCCTTGGATTAGACAAGCTATAGTTGAATCTCAAAATAGATCAGGAAAACAAATTAAATTTATTGGAATAACTGCAATGGCAGCAAGAAACGCTGATAAAGGACCCTTGTGGAATGAGCTTATATTTGGTACTTGGTGTAAACCCTCATTTGAAGATATGATACTCTTTGAGGATACTTTTTTAAAAGCTACGGATGATGAGAAAATTAATTATATATTTCTCAGACCACCTGGAATGACAGAAGATATTCCTGATCATGATATTCGTGTTGATCCTGAAAACAAACCCAGTGGAGAATTTAGGGTGAAAAGAAAAATGTTGGCCCAATTTATTGTCAAAGAATGTGTACTCAGTAATAAGTATGATGGGAGAGCCATGGTTTTAATTCATGATTAGATTTGTAGGCTTTATTTATTGTCGTTATATATACCGGTAATTTTATTAAATATTTATTACAATATGTTTTTATACAGTATATTCAATATTATTATGTTAATTGAACAGCGACAACTTATCATTTGTCAATAATAAATATTTTTGGATTAACTTGTAAAATAGCTTTTTAAAAATGGGTCACAAGCATCCTTTTCGTTTTATAATTACAGTATTTCTGAGAAGTATTTAGGCATTGTACGTTCGTAAATACTTAAATATCTCATTATCTAATATCTAGGAATCATTAATATAAAAAATTATATTCTCTGAATTCCTGAATATTTGCTTAGCAATCACATGTAATACGATATACTGTATTTGATGTTTAACCTAACTAATGATTTTCTGCGTACTATACAAAAAATTCAATCATATACTGTAAACGGCACCCTCGATCACGGGATTATTATTACGAATGTGATGCCAAAACATTCACAAAGCAAAAATAACGCTACATAACTCATAATGCTGCTTACTTATGAATTAAAGCTTCCTATCCACTCGTGCGTATTATTATATTTATACTTCCTCTTCATTATTTTACTAGCAAACAAAAAATCTGTGCCAGGTCTTTTAGTAAAAAAAAAAACTGTATAACCATGAAATAACACAAAGAGGCGTTGTTTTGAATTTCAGTCAGAATTAAGCTAAAATTCGAAATTACACTTTTGTGCATTATTTTGTGGTTATATGGTAATAGATTAATAGAGTATCGGGTTAGTAAAACAACGAATTATATGTTTATATAACTATTTTCTCTAGAGAACGATCCGGGTCAAGCAAACCCGGGTCACCCGCAGGTTAGTCTGGTATCCAGGTGGTAGCATTATAACCTGGGTGAAAGCAGGTTATTAATAAAAAATGTTTTGAGGCGTTTAGTGAGGCAGTTATATATAGCTAATTAATTATAGCTGATTGTAGTGAAGTTGCAACTTTTTTTGTAGTCACATTAAAATATTTCTGTAATAATTAATAAATATGTTACGACCTACAGTATTTCCTCAAGTAATATTACATGCCATGACTTATTCTGATTGTAACTTTTCGAATACGCCAACACCACTAAAATGCGTTATAACGGTACTACGTACAAATTGATTATTTTACTATTATTATTAATTAAAAATCTTGAATCCGAATAGACTATAATTTTTTAATAATTAACCCTGGTTCACCCGGATATCTGATTTCAATAAGTACACAGATATCCGGGTGAGGTTTTTACATCCGGTCCGCATCTCTAATTTTCTCTTTATAGATTTTATCTTTAAAAAATATATTCTGCATAAACTCGAAATAATGCGCAAGGGTGTAAATCCAAATTTGGGCCTAAATTCATGCTGAAATTTGAATTAATATTCCTATGTGTTATTTCGCATTTATATGGCATAATTTTTATAATTAGTATGTTTCAAAAAATAAAGATTTATTTATAAATTTATACTTTAAAAAATTAAAATTTAATAACCTTAATATTGCCTTTTAGATTCATTTTACTAATCTTAATTTCAATTTGAGTAAAATGATTTTTTTCTTGCAACATTAATAAACTTTCTTAAACCTCTCTGTTAATTCAGGTTGTATTTTACTTAAATTATCTATTGCTTTACACCAATAATAAAGTTGAATTTGATCATCTTTTTTGCATACATAGTAGTTTGTTTTAATAGGTGAGTTGCAAGATATTGTTCATGAACAAAAAGAGTATTATATAATAGATAATCTTTATACAAAATTGGATCTCTACATGATAGTGTAAGTAATTCATTATATAGAAGTTTAATACAGAAAGTTTTGAGTTTACTAAGCTTGAAATTAGTAAATTTGTGTGAGTGTTTGTTGTTGTTATTAAGATATAACTATGTTGAATTTTGTCAATTTGGTTATATAGATGAGTTCATATTTGATTACAGTTCTATAATGACTACATTGTAATAATATAAGTATTGTATATTGTTTTAATAAGTTTATATATAGATTGTTCAATATTATAATTTTTTTATATAATATAGAAGTTAGAGTTATATAAGTTAGTATATTTAAATTCAAGAAATTGTAGAGATTAATAATTTTATATTAGTATATTAGCTGCTTTATTCAAATTATTATTGCTATGAGCTAGTACTTTGTAAAGTATTATTAAGAGTTTATAAGATTTGATAAGATTAAATATTATATACTAAATTGGCTAGCAGTTATATGAGTAGGAGTATAAAAGATTTATTGTTGTTTGGATGAACTTTTAGTATTTTATATTACAGATTATAAATCTATATAGATATCAATTTTGTAATTGTGAGAAGCTATACTAATTGTTAATAGTAATTCTATTTTGTATAATGAAAACTAATAATTATCAAGTTATAAACAAATTTATCTATATAAAAAGTTAAGTTTGTAAAGTTAAAGTTAGAAATTGCAATAATATTTAATTTAAAAGAAGAACTATTTGAGTTAAATAGTTTAATAATAAAGTTATTATAGATAAAAATATTTGAAGTATAAGGTATATATATTAGATATTTGTTTGTAGTAGTATATATTAGATCTAAATAATTTGTATTAAATTTAAGTAATATAATTAGGTTGTTTAAAGTTTTACTTTCTTAGAATTATATTAATAAAGTAGCTGAGATATTAAAAGTATATTAGTTTTTGATCTTGTTAGAATTTAAATTATATTTAGAACAGGAGTTACAAGTTAAAGATGAAGTTAGTATAGTAATATTTTGTATATATATAATTAATATTATATATCTAGTAAGTAATAAAATTGTATTAAGTTAAGTATTAAATAAATAAGCTTTATCTATAGTAATTAAATTATTGTTATTATTAGTAATTAATTTTTTTTTTTTTTTACTTTCACTAGTCGAAATAGGAACATTCGGCACTGTAGCAATCAGCAAAAATTCAGCATATGATGGCAAAGTATCGAAAAAATATCAGCAAATGACGATACTTAGAAAAAAATTTTTAATATGAATGCCGAATGTTGTAGTTTTTCTAGTCACAATATTCGGCA